CGACCTTCAGGCGGATTTGCATCGGTGCAGGTTTTGTCGGTTCACAGTCTTTCCAGCCTCTTCATGTCCTCAAGCGAACACACTGTGAAGTCTAAAAGAACGAGATGAAGCTTTCCCGGCGATGGAGGAAGACATCCGGAAGGCTGAGGTCATTAAAACGCTTGGCCTGAAGCTTTCGCCTGGGACCCATGTGCTACGCGCCTGCGGCCGCCACCTACAAGAGCTGGCTGAGGGACAGATCAACGACAGAGTCCAGGACAGGGAATGTCGCCTGTTTGTTGCATGAGACATCCATACACCTGGCACTAAGATGCACGTCGAATTTGCACGAACAGAGCGAAGGAGATGTCACGCGATCTTGTGGAAGCTCTGTGCCAAGCTATGTCTGCAGAACTACAGAATCCCCCCGACCAGCAGTCAGAACTGGCAGAACTCGTCGAAATCGCAAGAATGAGGATTCTGGTCGTGCGCACGTTGCGGGCTGAAGGTCAAATACAGCAGCAATGCCAGCTTCTGCTGGAGCAAGACAGGATGTCTTGGACAGAGGGAACGTGCATTGAGCTGCAAAGCTTTGCTGACACTGCTTTTCTGGAGACGCAGGCAAGGGCTTTCCAACGCACCGTGCAAGGAGCAAGTAATGCAGGCAGTCCAGGTATGAGTATAAGAGACAATGTGCTGCTGCTGTCGCAGAGGCTCAGTTGTGGAGTGTGCGGCCAGCAGCGTGCCACAGCGGGCAACAGTTGGACCATTTGATGAAGCTAGGCCATTAAGGAGCAGTTGTTGTAATGGATTGCAGTTTGCAAGTCCTTTAGGCAGACGTGTGGCCAGGTCGCTATCACAATGCTCTTGTGGGATAAATCATGATGGATCTCATTAGGCATCCTACACAAAAATCTTGGTGTTGACGCGATGATGCTACCAGATATTCGTACTGCCTTCGTCTCTTCGTCTCTTGGCCACGTGGGAATTAAGGACCTACCACGCAGACTGGATGTTCGAACATTTGAAAGCATTCGTGAAGGCGCCGCTGTGTCGATGAAAGTTAGATGCGCAATAGTCTGGGTAGTCCAAATAAACAGATCTCAGACAGTGTCCTGCATTTTGTCAGTTTAAAGTTCGGTGCAAGGCTTTGAAGTGCTCTGCAGGAGCATCACCTCCCTGCAAGACTCGTGGTCCAGCACATGTGTAACTTGTGTCCTCTCGGATCAGCAGATGACGAGTACATGGTGAGTGGCTGCAGCGCCATGTGGAGCCAGCTGAGTACATGCAGAGCTCTCGTTTCCAAGAAGCTACAAGAAGATGGTGAGATGGACTTGGAACCATTGAAGGAGGTGCACTGTGTCACTGTGCAGTTTTGCGATGCTGCGAACCATCCGGACAAGCGAACTTTCTACCTGGCGCGGCCAAGGAGCTTTGCTACGGTCGTGCTTTGTCATGACACACGGCTGGGGGAGGAGAACTACTCTTCTCGCAGCCGTGCTTTGGGTTAAGCGAGAAGACAGAGAATTAGAGCGCACACTAACATGCGACTCTGAAGGAGCACCTTCTTCTTCTCCTCTGGTGACTTCAAGCCTTGGCTGTTCGACCGGTTCTTCCACAAAGCCGTTCAGGACTTCGAGGACCTGTACACTGCTTTAGGAGTTCGGAAGGATCCAGATTGGCAAGACTTTGTGCTTGTGATCAAGAAAGTCGCTGAGCAGCAACGCACATGGTCTCTGTGGATCCACGACAGGCTCATGGCGGCATGCTTGCAAGGTTGGTATAAACGCTTGCCAGCTCATGTCACTGCAGCGGCGATGCAAGAGCTGCACATGCCCAGTCGTGACCATCCAGATGAAGTTCGCTTGCTTCCCGCAGCAGCGCTTTGTTGGGCCGATTTGTCCGAGTGGCTGCCAAGATGCGCACATGCGAATTTGGACTTCTGCTGCACAAAGCTTCTGGAAGAGTTTGCTTGGCCACACTGGCAGTAGGCAGCTCAGTGGTTGCTTTCTGATTGACCATCTCGGTTCCCTTTCTTATTCTTTGGATGCTGTGCTACCTAGGATGGCTACATGTGCTCCCCGTGAGATTCTGGAAGCTTTGACGAAGCATGCCGGACTCCAGCGACTGTCAGATCTCGTCCCTCGTCTGCAAAATACTGCAATACTTCCATGCTCCCACAACATTATGTTCTGACCCTTGAGGAGGCCGGCATTTTCTTGTACCTGGCACTAGGACAGAAAGGCAGTTCAAGAATCAGCCAAATGACGTGTCGGACAGCCGACTGCGCGAGCAAGTTTCACCGCTCAAAAGACAGATGGGAACGAAGTCACATTTGTGTCTATTCGGGTTGCCTCTAGATCTCCCTGTTAGACTTCACATGGTTCGTTTCAATCTTGGCATGAGTTTTCTTGCCACCCTGGCGGTACTCAAAGGTATCAGAAGTATTGTCGCCCGACGAGTATCCGGCTGACGACAGCCCGGATGCCAAGGCGTTTTGGGGGGTGATGTTAAATTCTTTGTAAAGCATAAGAATCGTGCATAGCGGATATATCGACTGGGAGTCGGGTTCTGATAAAGCTCGTTCCCAGATCTGCCAGGCGCACTTCGAGCAATTCTTGAGGTCCGAGCCATTCCTGGCGGCTTTGAAGGTGGGGCGTTGATCGTTTGTCGTACTGGCGTACTCGCTGCTAGAGCCCGGAACGTGTGCCGGGACTCGTCCCTTCACCCTGCCCGACTTGCGAGGCGATCTGGCGACATCAACACAAGGATGAGCCTCCGGCAGAATGCGACAAGTTCCTGTCCAAGGTCAAAGACAGCTTAAGCAGGTTGCAAGTTTTGGGAGTGACCCGACTCATTGTTACAGAGCTGGCTCATGCTCATTCGGAAGGGCGGCAAGTTCTTCCGGGAAGCCGACAAGAGCTGGTAGCCTTCTTTGACACACGGCAGCAGAGTCTGACAATAAGCGAAGAAGCTTACAGAACAGCGCATGATACGAGGACACGTGAATGCCTGATGCGTGCAGTTGAAAGAGCCATTGGTCTAGCGGAGCTCACGACGATGATGCAGGGAAAACTTGCATTGAACAGTGTAACAACGTGCTCGATCGATGGAGGAGTCGCAAAACTTCCCGGTGCACTATGCAACGCGGGGATTGCAGCTGACCTTCCTTCAGATGAATCCATTCTGCGACCAGGCAGCGAGCTGCCTGACGAATTCCACGACGAGCTTGTTCAATCGATGAGTCGGGGCTTTGAAAGTCATGCCTTCGTGGCTGTTCTCATTGATGGCAAGTATTACCTGGGCGTCGTTCAGGAATGGCATGATTCCGGGAACTCACAAGCGGAGTCGTTGTCCCGCTTGTACAAGGTCATGTTGCGAGGGACTGACGTGCGCACCGTGCGACACATGGACATGTTCAACCTCAAGGGCCAGGGTGTGCCCCAAGCAACAGTGCGTCTTGCTGCCGATCAGGCAGCCGCCGGATCTGTTCAAGATGCTTCACCACCAGAAGCGGTCCACACACAGGCACATCAACTGGAGGAGGTGAAGCATCAACTTCGGGAAATGAAACATTTCAGCAGAGACGACTACAAGACTGCCATGCGAAGGCTGTTTTTGACATGGCACCCGGACAAGGCAGGGAACACACACTTTGCCAGCATGATGTTCAGGATGCTCAAGAGGCATAGTGATTGGTACCAAGACGGCCAACCCGGAGATGATGAGTGGCTTGGCGAGTACACAGTGGGTCACGAAGAATTGCGCGAACCAGCCCAGGCACGAGAGGACACCGGCGCTCATGTGCAAACCATAAGCCCCTGAACAGAGATGCACACTGTATACCTGTCACAGCCTCCAACAGATGTAAGAGAGCGTGTGCCCCAACAGTTTCTTGACACGGGTGGTGCAGAATGTTGTCGAATCATGTCGAATAAAGTATTACATCCTATGCAGAGGATCACCGAAGTGGCAGCGACAACGTCCGTTCTGAGGCGCCATGCCGGGGATCCTCGCAGGCGGGGTCACGGCTGACTCATCTCGACCTTCTAGAGTTTAATTTTGGGCTCGCTTTTCGTGATGAGTCAATTTCTTCTGTTACTTCGATTTTCCTTCCCAGTCCCAGTCTGGGTCTTTGGGTTTGGCAGCCCGTTTCTCTTTCCCGAAACACCTGCATTGCACGGTCAGAGTTGGAAGAGTAGCAGAGTCACGTGTCCCACAGGGGAAACCGTGAGTCTTGTTCGTCTGTGAGCAGCACATGGAGCAACGATGATCAAACTTCCATGCAGGCCTCCTGGTTTGACGAATTCGAGGAGGAGCGTGCTCGCCGACGCGAGCGCCCTTTGAGCGCACTTTTATCTCTGCCCTTCGTATCCCTTCTCTCCCTGAACCGACTCTGGACCCCTTCCCTACCTCCCAAGAATCCTTCATTCCTAATCGTCGGGCGGGGGGGGGTCTGGAGCACCTGAGGAGTGCAAGTCTCGGCCGCCGGGCCGGCGAGGCGCCCCTCCGAGTTCATCCCTCAGCCTTCCTGGTCGCCTGAGAGGAGCCCGAATGGCAAGAAGACTACTTGGGGGCTTCCTTTGGTAGCAGGCTCCTCAACAGTGTGGCTCCACGTGGTCTGAGCAAAGCTTTCTCATAAGGGAGCAACTCACCGAGTAGCAAAAGGATCGCAACAACAGAAGCTTGAACAAGTGTAGAAGCACGAGCCGGGCCGTGCTGACCAGTACTGGCAAGGCTGAGAAGCCACAGTCTTAACAGCAAGCTTTGTCTGGATTAGGCAGAAAGTGCAAAATGCCGAGTCAGAGCCCCAGAAGCCTGTTCACATCCTAAGCTAAGCATCGCTCTGCCGGGCGATGTTTGCGGCCACATCACTCAGTTAGCAACAAAATTGTAGAGCATGCAAGTGACAATTGATTTCCGGAGCTTCCATGTCTTCCAGCAGTTTCTAAAACAGACCCCGATCCGCTAGTCCGGTTTGACACCGAGACTCCCACAACGAAATCCGAGCCCGAGCCCAGGAAGCTGGACAAGGAAGCGGCAGCAGGTTGGTTGCAGCAGGCAGAGTGCGAGTTAAAAACAGTGGAAACGTTACTCGCACACGCCTTGTACTCGCCGACGGTAATTCGGCCCTTGTTAGTCAAGTCTTTGCGTGTTGATGTCAAGAACTGTGCGGCTTCAGGAGGAAATTTGCGATTTCGAGCATGGAGTCATCTTTTGCCAGCAGCGACTGAGGTATTTCATGCCCAACAAGTCGTCGAATTGGCGTTGAAAAGTGCGATGCTCCGAACGTGTGGGCTAGTGACAGAAGAGTTTACGGGCTCCACTTCGCACGACCTCGTGGGCTTCTATGTGCGGCTGGTTTCTGCAACTCCCACCACAGATGCGCAGAAAGACGCCATGGAGGCGACGCGATTGTGTTGAGTGTGTTCTCTGTCACATCGAATCTGGACCGTCTAGGCAGTGTTGGAACTCTGATTGAAGCATGTTCGACGGGTTCAGAACTGCTGCCAAAACAGCCTCAGGCCATTCCGGGATCACAAGAAGAAGTGGCCTGGTTGAAGCGCGCGTACTTGGCTGCACGGTACCCCAACGCCTGCTCGGCAGGAAATCTGCCAGCCCATGAGTATTCCCAGGACGATGCCACACATGCCCGGCAATTGGCCCAAAGCTTCTTCGAGTGGTCGAAGCATCTTTCAGACTTGCCAACCCCCGAGCACGTGCCAGCAACGAGGGTGAGTGTCCCACAAGAGCAGGATGGTGAGCTGCCAACCCTGTTTCGGTTTGAACAGTCACGGCCAAGTTTTGCACCCTTGCCGCGAGCCCCCCAACAGACACTGCCGGGAGGCCCAGGCATGCAGCAGAGCAGCGTGACCAACGGAGCCCCTGCTCCACCACCACTTGAAGCACCGACGGCGAGGAACGCGCTTCCGGATGAAGCAACTATGAGCCTGACAAATGGCTAGCGGCTAGCTGAGGCTATTCGAGACATGCAAGTTGTGGTTGGAAGCTCATCGATGCTGCCACACTTGCATGCATTGGCAGCAGCGCAGACGGACATCAGAAGATGAGAAAAGCAGTGAGCCCCATGTGCTTGGGTTGTTTGGAAGAGCCAAGCTGCAGCTTACGCAAGATATACCGCCTGACATGCCGTTCCTAGTTTCCCGAGCGCACGAAAAGTGTTTTTAACAGCTGCAGCAATCCTGCTTGTCCAAGTCCGCTTGCAATTCTCAGAGATAGGTTTGCTGTGCAAGTAAAGCTTGTCTTTTGGACCAGATGTGCATCGGATCATCGGCTAGCTTCTTCCACTCAGCGGGGACCCCGACTGCCCTTCAGACAAGTCTCATCTCAGTGCTTCTGCTTGGCTGGAGTGTTGGATCTTCAGCTTGCAGATGCTTGCAGGTGTGAATGCTGTTGTCCCACATGGCTGTCTCGTTGAGCGATGTGTAGCTTCTGCCACAATCGTCGGACAGGTTTACCAGTGTAGCACATTGAAGGCTTTGAAACACGGAACAACACAGAGTCTGCGAGCCAGCACCGAGCAGTGGTTCGGCCTGGCGAGCGCTGCACACCACTGCATGTGACGAGGCCAGATGCCAGATTGCTGCAGTTCGTACATCTCTGCGTGGCCACTGTGGCATTCTTTGATCACTGTCATCCCTAAATCTTGAGCCTGCTGCGCTGGTTCTTTGAAGCCATTTCCCGGCCCTTGCTACAAGCTGGTACGCAGGATTGAGCCATGGTGCACAGCGAACTCGAGGTTCCAGTCCCCGCAGTCCACAGAGGTCGGGTCATCGGGAAAGGTGGCGAGACTCTCAAGCGGCTGCAGGACGAGTTCCATGTCATAGTCAATGTCCCGAAAGATCTTCACTCGCGCCCGGTGCGAGTGAAAGGTCCCGTGAGCAAGTGCCAGGCGTGCGCCGACGAGATTCAGAAGATGATTCAGAAGCACGGTCGAGCTCCGGCTCCGAAGCGAAATGAGGCAAAGAAGCCTACACATTGCAGCCATGCCCCATACCCGCCACAGTGCCCTCTCTGCAAGTCCATGATGAACTCCATGCGCGAGGCCTTGTCGCACGTTCAGAGCTCCAAGCACCTGACGGCCGTGCTGGATGTGTGCTCCGACGTCTCCTGCCGGATGTCGGAGGGCAAGAGTTTGGATCTGCAGGAAGTGCAGGGCTTGTTGAAGGTACAATGGTACCGGGATCTTCATGAAGCGCACGGATTCAAGCCCGAAGACCTTCAGGCTGCCGCAGCTGCGGAGCTGCAGAGACTCTCAAGGGTGCAGGAGATACACCAAGACGCGCTGCGTTTGAGCGCGGATCCGGCATGGCTGAAGGTCGAGGGCCGCATGGTGGTGGAGTGGAATGACACACCCTTGACAGGAGGAGTTCCCATAGAGTGCGCCCCAGACTTGATGGACATGATGGAGCGTTGCCGCCTGCGGACGCCTCCAGTTGCAAGGGTCCCAGCAGTGCTCCCGGCTCCACTGCCCCCTAGAAACCACAAGCAAAAGAGCAAGGACAGGCTGATAGGCGCTCACAAGTATCCTTGCGATCCTGGAAGTGGCCGTCTGGGCATTGCCATCATGCGGAAGTTTGGTGTGCCGGAGTGTGACGTTGTCTGTGGCACGTCATTCATCAAAGCCCTTGCTGGTGTTTCGAACAGAGTCAAGGACACTTATTACTTGCAAAAGTTCAAGAACACGATTTGTGTGCTGCACGTGCCCAAGCATTACCACAACCAAGACGTGCCCGGACATGCAGTAGAGCGCTTACTTTGTGGCGAGGCAGCTTTCTGCCACTTTGCTGCTACCACGCTGCGCGTAGACGGCACGAGCTTCTTCGTGACCTCCAAGGTGGATGCAGTGGACGAATCTGGGGAGTTGCTTGAGATCAAAAGCTCCAAGCTCGGGAATGCTATTTCCAACGAGGGAGTCTTACGGACCCTGGTGAATGGGTCGAAAGCATTTCTTTGCTGCAGTTTGGATGAGGGGCCAACGAAGCTTCTTGATGCGTGGGTAACTCCTGCGAAACAAGCTCAGGAGAAGCATCAGCAAAGCTTGATCTACTACGGGCGTCGTGCAAGGTTCATGCTGGCTAAGGTGCTCCAGCATTTCTCGGAGAATCCGAGCACAGCGTCGGTGTGGAAACTAACCTTTGATGATTGCAAGCTGCCTGTCTTTGACTCGTCAGAGACTGTGCAGGTCTTGCCGCTGGGGCTGGATTCGTAGATCATGTCATGTATTGTCGTGCCAGTCTCTCAGCTCAGACTGATGGTGTCTGTCGTGACATGCAGTGACCCCGTACAGACTTTGCGTGAGGCTGTGTGCTTCGCGTGTTTCGCTCTTCTTGTGTATAGGACTGACCAACTGCTCAAGTGCGACGAATGGGACAAAGTGAAGATCAGGGAGCCCATTGTTTATTCTTGTCTGTTTGACACAACTCTCGACCAGTTCCTCCGAAAATTTGCTTTCAGTGATCTTTGCCTCTGCCCGCCGACAGGTCATGGCCGTAACGTGAGAGCCTTGTGCACAGCTGCTGAGCTGAAGTTAGAGAACATGCCAAGCTTGGTCTGTGTGGCTTTCGTTGCGTGTTGTTCTAACGGGCTACAGGCATGCTTTCGCCGTGTGAAACGGTTTCGAAGCCTTTCAATCTTTGAGGGCCGTTCGTGCATGCGATTTTGGACGAGAGTCTAGCGCACAAGCTGTTGGGCTGCGATGGTTTCAGATGACGGTTCAAGATTGCAACTCACGGATTGAACCATCCGCTCGAGTGCACGGCTGCCCGTTGAACGGTTTTTGCACTGACATTGCAAACTTCGTGCATTTTGCTTGGTATTGTTCCCTTCTGTCATCGATGCCGAGGGTGGGAAGAAAAGCTCCAATTACAATCACAGCATTCTGGTATTGCTCAGCTGACTACCACCATGACCCGCTTTCTTCCGGAACTGAAGGCATCAACCTACCTGCTGGGTCGTGGCTTCTCCTGGAACGTGGCCAAACAGATGCCAGTGCGAAATGCGAAAATATTTGGCGATGCAGGATCAAAGCTTCAGAGTTGTAATGCGAGTTACGCTTCTATGTGGTGGCAACTTCAGTGTACAGATGTTGCGGTATGCGGGTAAGCTACTCCTCAACTGTGGATGTTCGAACGCCATTCGGTCTCGGAGCTATTCGCGTTGTAGCTACGTACGTGTGTGTGTGTGTCGCTGAGGCTTGTCTGTGCCAGAGGCAGCACTGAAGACTTTCCCAATGTTGCTTGAGTCGATGTGTACTGCCGGCTTACTATGGCTCATCAGTTTTGTGATAGCGACACTCAGACGAGTTTGCAATTTAACGACGATACTCCGATGGTTGTGGAAGCTCGCGACTTTCAGCACCGAGCACCTGACATGCGCACAGACACACACACAGCAAACAGTTCTTCCTAGTGAACATGACACGCAGATGATTTTGTAGTCACCTTGGGCAGTAGTGGGTAGTCGTTTCTTTACGGAGCACAGGTCATGCCCTGCGATGAGTTTCGCACTGCGCTTGCCGAGTCTCTGCGCTTGCCATGTGGAGCAGAATCGGAGCCTGGCTCGGGTTCTGCGTGTCTGCATGTCAGGCGGCAGACAGCTTCGGCGAGCAGTTGAAGGGCGAGGATGTAAGTCTGCATCATGACACAGCCTGCAAGTCTCTACAAGGAGTAGATGCAGGCACTATGCTGATGCGTGCTCGCGCCTACTACCGCACGGGTTTGTTTGAGCTGGCGGAAGCAGACCGTATCGCCTATGTCTTGGCGGACTTGGATAGTATCTCTAAAGTGTGTCCGGCCGTGGCGCTGCAGGCGCTGCTCCTGAAACTCGAAGACAATATCGTCGTCCAACCTGGTGCTTTCGAGGCTCTGATGTCGCGCTATACCACGATTCTGCACCAGGCCATTCGGGACCAGACAATCGCCCCTCAGGACATGAACACTTGGCCCCTCGACTATGGCGCAGAGCGGGTCCTGAACATAAGCCGAGCCCTTGCCATTCCACGACGCTTGACGGCTGCCGTCGTCATGAACTACTGCCAGGTGGTGGACCGCTGGGGCACCAGCCAGCTTCTGACTTGGTTGGTCGAGCCTCCTTTCGGTGAGCCGATCGAGGGCGTCGCAGAGTCTGGTTTGCTGAAAAATGCCGAGCTCTTCATCTACCAGGTAGACTGGCCCTGGTGTCAGCCTCTTGCGGAAGAGGTCCTGGATCGATTGCGTGTGTCCGTGAAGGAACTCCATGTGGTGACATACCGTGGTGGACCACGGCGGGAGGAGCAGACGGCCTACTTCAAGTTCATATTGGACCACTGGGACGACCTGCCTGATTTCACCATCTTCGTTCATCCCGACGCTGATGAGCACCAGGGTCAGAGGTTTTTAGCCCTGACACGTGCACTGAAGCTGATCAACACGCAGTCGCAGTTCGCGAGTGACGCTCTCGGGTATTATCCCCTTGCGCAGCAGATGGTCGTTGACCCCAGGAGGACATGGGGCCATCGGGGCACAGACACCTTTGCATCGACGTGGCGAAGGTTTTGGCGTCGGGTCTTCGGATATGCTTGGGAGGATTTGGGGTTCGAGGAGCCGCGGTGCATGTGGGAGAAGCACGTGGGGAAGTTTTTGCCCAAACATGCCGACGGCATCTCTCGAAGGCACTCCGTTCCGGATGCCAAGCTGGTTTGCCTTCGCCTTGGGAACGCCTGCCGTGGAGTCACCTGCGGCACGTCCGTGGATGCTTCCGAATTGGAGGGTCCTGGTCAGGAGAAGTTTGGGCAGGCATCCTGCACTGTTCGGGAAGGTTCGGAGGGGCTCTCGGCCTCCCCAGAAGCGGGTGAGTTCAGCTACGTGAAGACATGCAGAGGCAAGCCTTCTGATGCCGGGCAGGAGGAAGCCGTGGCTAAGTCGACGTACCAGGCAGCGCAAGGCAGCTTCCTCTTGGGTTTCGCTGCAGAGGACTCGGTGACAAGAGGCGAAGCAGAAGCTCGGAGGCGATGTGATGAGCTGGGTGATCTCTGTACCGGCTTCACGTGTGAGAAGAGCATCCAGGTGACCCCAGAGATGACGAAGAAGGACTACCAAGAAGCTCAGAATGCCCAGTCGTGCACAGTCAGAGCCGGCTCTTCGAGCTCCGAGCTTTTCGAGAGTCCTACGGAGGAGCTCACCTTCGTCAAAGTCAGTCCCAGTCCCAAGCTACAGGAGGCCGTCCTTCGCAAGACCACCAAACCAGATGCGAATCTTCTCTTCCAGTTCTACACGGGCTCCCAGTCCGTGGTTCGGAAGGACCCGCGCCCGCTTCAGCCTTTGACGTCTGGTCTGTGAAGCCAAGCCCACAGCCCGAAAGGACCGCCTGAGATGGTGGCCGCGCGAGGAGATCGAGGCCTTCGCTGCGGACGGCGTGTGGTGTTCGGACACGACCGGCTTGGTCGAGGCCACTTCAACCCACTCGCAAACGGCGTGCAGGATAATACGTGCTTGCTGACACTTTGATGTCCTGTGTAAGTTGTCAAGACCTGTGGCTTCGAAGGCAGTCTGGCACCGGCTCTTCGGGGAGCCTCTCTCCCAACACTCTCGGCAAGAGGATCCAGCATTGTGCCTCTGTCCTGCATTCGCTGCGCCATTTCTGAAATGCCTCTCAGCATCCTTTCCGCCCATGCCAGGCCTCTTTTTTTGAAGTGGGGCATTCCTACTTTCTTCTCCTACGGTGACGAGGGAGTGGTGTGACTTGGTGCACCATTTCGGCGTGTGGCAGCTGACAGGTGACGCACCTCGGTTGCATTTGCCACAGCAACAGGACGAGAGGAGAAGTGGGAGGGCTCCCGTGAAGTGCTGGCCAAGGCAGCGAAAGGCAAAGCGGCAAAGCTTCAGCATCGTCCTGGCTCTCCATCCGTGGGCGCCTCCCTGACCTGAGCCGGGAGCATCCAGTGAAGTGAGCCCAAGGCTGCCGTTAAAGCAGTCAGCCTTACAGCCGAGCCCTTCTGCGTCGCTGTGAGGAGTTGCCAAAGTGGCACATACTCGTGCTCGGCAGACTGTATAGGTAGTCAGGTACAGTACTCCTTGGCAGAAAGAAGTCGACTGCAGCTGTGTCTAACTGTCCGGTAAAGCGACCGCAGGCCCACCTCAGTGCAGCGGATCCGTGTTGTGCATCGAGCAATTTGGATCAGCTCCACAGAAGTTGCTCCGTAACGGAGACTCATCGCGAGGGGCTACTAGTAGTAGGCGCGCCACTTGCATGTGACAAGGGGCATTCACAGCAAGTCGTGTCGCTGCTGCTAGGTGAATGGCGTTGCACAGCATTGTACAGCTGAGGGAGGCGCAGGCCACGAAGGGTCTCTTTCTGAGTGTGTTTTGTCGGAGCGTCCAGTCGGGTGCCTGAATTATTGCCGTCCTGCTTGCCCCGATCCGTGTCGAAGTTGTGAAACGCCAGAGCTGACCTCAGAAACTGAAGGCCGGAAGCATCGCACGCGCCAGGCACACACCCTGTGCTTCCGCCCTCCACCAGGCCTTGAGACCTGCGGCCCAGGTGGGAACGTGGGCGAGCCGAGCGATCCTCGTTACAAGTCGGGCCCTTCTTTCGCCTTGGCCCTGCAGGACCTTTGATCTCTGCACCCCCTGGAATGAAGGCCAAGGCCCCGGTGGGAAGCGGCTTGTATCTGGGTGCCCCCCCCGTAATCATCACCGCCCGGACAGGAGCTCGACGCCTTCTCCGAGGCCAGTGATGTCTCTTCAGGCGGAATTCTACGCGTAGGTTGCACTCACCGCTCGCTCCGACCAGACCTCCGAGTGCAGCACAACAGTGCCAGCCTCTCCGCCCGGCGAGCTGGGCCAGGTGCAGGGGGTCAGGGGAACTGCAACACTGCTTTTGGCTGTGGAGAGTTTGGGGCTCTTTGGGAAGTTCTTCAGTGGCTTCTGGAGCCCATTGCAGCTCAGCTTGCGAGCAGTGCAGAAACCTCTCTCTCTCTCTCTCTCTCTCTAAGCACCCCGGCTCGAACCGGCTCTACTAGCAGAGCTTGTACATACTGCCGGG